GTTGGGTACCACACCCATTCCCCTAGAAGGCTGTCGCGGCCAGTAATTATTGTTGACGGCTGTTGTTAACCGAGGCGACGCGTTTCATTTTAGCGTGAAAGCCACGGCGACATCTTGGGCGTAGATCACATCTGGCGTTTCATTTCAACGGCTGGGATCGAGAATACAACGGACGGTTTAGATTGATCGTATTTGAATTCAAGGGTGGAGATTGAATTCGTTTTTTCTATAAAAGGTGAACTTTGGGGGCTTACCAGAGTTTCTACCTTTGCCACGAAAAAACAAAATTTTCTCCCAAGTTTTCGGCGATTTTCGGCGTTCTACAAGTAACTCCGGCGACAGAGAGTGATATTTCCGGCGATCTTGCACCATTTCCGGCTAGGAAACACTTCCAAACTCGTAAGTTTCAGTACCCATTTAGACTCTAAAAATTTCTTAACGAATGGCCTCGGAAGGGAGTTCTGGTATGGGTAGGGGTTTAGAGATTGTGAGGGTGGACGAGCCCATTGTGGCGACCTCCTCAGAAATAGCTGGGGCCATAATGGGAGGGGAAAACATGTGGAAGCGACCAGATAGCCCTCCGGATATCTCTGTGCACTGGGGGGCATCGGACTACCCATCAAAGTTGAGGGAGGCCGACCTTGGTAGACTTAGGACGGAATATAGGATCCCGGACAGTGTGGACCTGATTCTCCCAGGGCCAGAGGAGAGGGCTTGTTATCCAAGGCCGGGCTGCGTGGCCATTAGCGAGGCGATCCTTAGGGCCGGACTTAGGCTGCCTATTCACCCGTTCTTTAGGTTGGTGCTTAGGTCTTACGGGCTAGCCCCGACGCAGCTCAATCCGAACTCCTGGAGCCAGATGGTGGGCTCCTGGATGTTGTGGAAAGAGGCGTCGTTAGGAGTGGAGATGCCCCTTTCCGTTTTCCAAACTCTTTACATACCCAAGGTTACTGCCGGGGAGGATAAGACCCGGGGCTGGTACTACCTGACGTCATGGGGTTCCCACCCTCCATTTGTGATCGATCTGCCGAGCTCCATCAAGGAATGGAAGAGCTCTTGGTGCTGGGCAGCGGGACGATGGGACACAATGGAGGGGGACCCCCTGGCACCTCTTACAGTCCCGGCGAAGTTTTCAACACTTAGTGAGTATAGTAGTTGATATTTTATTTCTCTTCGGTCGGGCTTGTGTTTAACAGATGTTTCTTTTCGTAGGTTCCCTCCCTCGGTGCGAGCTGTCGACAGAGGACTTCGACATTATTTGCGTTATTTATCAACTGCCTCAGAAGAAAAGATCATATCACAGGCTCATTCGGAAAAACATACACTTCATCACTCACGAATTAATGGCGTCCCAAGGTAATGGGACCGAAGCCCACACTCTTTTAAACTGAACTCCCTATACTTGTATTAATTCCTCACCCGTTTCTTTGCAGATAACTTCAAGAAGAAGCTGCCAGTACGCCCTGACTTCAAAACAATTCAGAAAATGATGGCCGAAGCAAGGGCGCTGAAGGCCTCCTCCTCTTCATATAAAAAGCAAATGGAAGAGCTGGTGGAGGCTAGTAAGAGACTTCAGCCTCCGACGGAGGAGGAGGTTCAGGAGGATCCAGAGGCCGACCTTCAAAGGAAGGGCAAGAAAAGTGCTGTACCTCCCAGACGCCCCACTGTGGCGAGGCCACCCCCAGTTATGCGGCAGACAACTATTCCCACGGGGGGGGCCCTCCCAGAGAGAAATCCCACTGCTACGGAGCCTGTCGCTGCCCCGGACGCGGCGCCCCTCGCGGCTGTACCTATCGAACATGTTCCGGGGCAGCAGAGAAAAAGGGCTCGCTCCAGCAAAGAGGTTAACTTCCTCGGCTCCAGTTCCGAAGAGCCGGTAAGGGAGGTGCTGGAGGCTCTCCCTCCAGAAACAGCTGCGGTAGCGGTGGTCCACAGCAAGTATTGGACCGAAGAGTGGAGGGAACACACCGCATCCTGTACTGCTGAAGACTTGGTGGCGGCGAACAGCGCCTGCGTGGCCCGGGCACTAAGTACGAGTATCCAACTCGAGGGCTTGGTGAAGGATCTAAACTCCAAGAGGGAGGACCTCGCTAAGCGCCTCGAGGAGGCAATGCATTACGGGGACGCTGTGCGAGCTGCCCAGGCCAAAGCTGCCAAGGCAGAGGAGGAAAAGAGAGCTGCTGAGGTTCAGCTCGCTGCTTCGCAGGCGGAGGTGGAGCGGCTGAAAAAGGAGCTTTATGAGGTGGAATGCCAGGTGGCTGTGGTGACTCGGCGGCTTGACCACGCTAATGAGCACCACAAGCTTGCCACCGATGCCCTAGAGGCCTCCAACAGAGAAAAAGCGGAGCTGAAGCAGCATGCAGAGGCCCAGTCAGTGGAGATTGCCTCTCTGAGGGAGGAGTTAAAGTCTGCGGGGGAGGTGGCGGTTCAAAATTTTATTGATCACTTCGAGGACCATCCCCTTTATGACGACTTTGCCAACTTCTGGGCCTCGTGGAGTGCCCAAAGCCTATTGGGTCGGCTGAAGGAGGTGCATCCCACACTGGACATCTCTCAACTAGAGGCAGAGTTTGGGGGACCCACTGGAGGCCGGCCTGACAAGGTTACCGAGGAGGTTCCAGAGGCCCAGGAGGCGGCCAGTGCTGAAGTTCCATAGATTAGGGTCTCCTTTGTAATGGCTTCGGCCCCCATGTACTTCAATCTCATGAAATGGAAAATTTTGTTAAATCCCTTTTAAGTTTTCTCGCTTCTGCCTCTTTGTATCTCTCATTGTTTTATACTTGTATGAATGACAAACATTAGGCCGACTGCCTCGTGACAATGACTAGTTAACAATTGTGAATCGGTCTCCTTAAGCGAACATAAGTCTAAACACTTAAGTGGGTAGGAAGTGACCCCTTACCTTAACTTCGTAATAACCTGAGGCCAGAGCAGTTAGAAAAATGTGAGGAAACGTTTGTTCATCAACTAATAAGTGGTGATCGAATCATTGAAATGAACATTTTTAAGAACTGAGGAAACCTTTCCCTGACTGATCCGGTTTGGAACTGAAAATTCATTACTGAAGATAAGTTACACCTCTTAACAATCAACGTCGGATCAGGACAATTGATTTAGCTTCGACAACCTAGGATCAAATCGGAACATTCTTGTTACTGGTAATATTTTCTCAAGTGCTCGATGTTCCACTTGTGAGGTAACGCCCTTCCTGACATATCTTCGACCTCGAAAGTACCAGGTCGGGATTCTCCCCGAATACGGTACGGGCCTTCCCAGTTTGGGCTAAAAACTCTTGACCCGGTTGGTTTCGAAGATTGGAACACCCTTTTGAGAACAAGGTCGCCCAAGCGGAGAGTTCTGTTTCTAACCTTGGAGTTGTAAAAGCGGGTCATCTTACGATGGTATTTCGCTAAGGTTATCTGGGAAGCGTCTCTCTTCTCCTCAAGGAGGTGTAGTTCATTTATACGCGCCTCATCGTTGCTGATCTCATTGAAATGTATCCGCCGATGTGATGGGACACCGACCTCGACCGGACTCATCGCTTCAGCTCCGTAGGTCATTGAGAATGGGGTCTCACCCGTTGCGGTCCGGCAAGTCGTTCTGATGGCCCAGAGGACGTGGGGGAGTTCGTCAACCCATGCGCCTTTTGAGGCATCCAGTTTCCTTTTCAGGGTGTGCTTGATAGTCTTGTTCACTGCTTCGACCTGTCCATTTGCCTGAGGATGATGCGGAGTCGAGAAGTCTTTCTTTATGCCTAGTTCGTCGCATAACTCTCGCATCTTCCTGTTGTCGAACTGCCGCCCATTATCAGAGACAATGGAGTGAGGGATGCCGAACCTGCAGATGACGTTTTTCCAAACGAACTTCGTAGTGTTGGCTTCGGTGATTCGGGCAAGGGGTTCTGCCTCGACCCACTTAGTGAAGTAGTCGATGGCGACAATGGCAAAAGTTACGCTTCCTCTACCCTTTGGTAGCGGACCAATGAAGTCGATGCCCCACTTGGCGAA